AGTAATTTCCCTGGCAGCTAATGTTATCAGGAATAAATTAATTTTTGCCCAATTAATGAAATTATTTAATCGATATTTTCACATACTCTTTTCTCTTCCATCCATTTATTAGCGGAATGAACCAGCGACCCAACTGAGCTAAAAGGTACAATATAGACTGTTATTATTCCGGCGTCAGCTTTCAACACACTTTTTTGTACTAATCTCATTTCCTTTTTTTTAAAAAAAATTGACTGCTCACAATTCGTATATGTTTATTTCAGGTTACCCCCATTTAATTTAACAATAGCCGCTGTTGAGCTGTATAAATACAAATGAGATCTGAATAGGTGACGATGTTATCAATCTTTGATGAGAGAACAGAGTCGTTCATGATATTTATCAGATCTCTCAGTTTCGTCTTATCAGGTTCTACAGCTCGCTTCAGGCCAAGGCCGCCTTAACTCTATTTTCTGGCAATAACACATTGAATGTAGATAGCATGCTTTTTAACTCAAAATTCATTTGCTGTTTTATTTCATCATTGGATGGTAAATGTGTGGTGTCTCTGAACTGCTGGTATTTTCTTGTTGGTCATCTACCACCGCTCAGGCATTTAAATTATCATCGGAGTGTTGATCTCCCACTCCTGCAACGTCTTGCAATATACGCTCTCGTATTGCCAATGGAACCAGGTTATTGTCCACAATTTAACATTTTTGAACACAATTGAACTAGCTAGTCCCTGTTCAGAAATAGGTAGACTGGGAAACTGTTGTACGAATTACGAGTGGAGGACCTGCTTATATTCAGACAATTCTGTTTCACAGCGGGTTACACTACAGTAAGTGCGCAGTGGGAATTGGTTCATTTTCACTTTCTATTGCATCCTCTGTCTAGGCAGTCCCGCTCTGGGGGTCAACGGCTGTGTTGCCGCTGTTGACTCTTGATGGTGGTCGTCTCTCTATTCGATTTGTTCTGCTTCTTCCGATGGTTCGTAGCAAATATCATAATGGGACTGTCGTCTTTCCTCATCTGGCGCAACCAGATGAGGCCTCCTTATACCTAGTTGCTGCTTTACAGAACTTTTCTGAGTAGCGGGGTGCAAACCTGAGAGACAGGTTCCCTCTTGTTTCGGAATAAGGGTGAAAAAGAGGGGACAAAGTCCCTATAGTTTGCTTTTTATCCCTACATCCAGGGGGTTTCTGTTGGCGTTTTCTCCCTCAAGGGATATCATTCCCCATGGATGTGACTCCGCCCTCGCTGGATCTTCGCCTGTGACCGTAGGCAGGGGTCCTTGCTGAGGACTGACAGCCGCAGCCAGCTGAGTTCAGGTTATTTTATGGAAGTATGCTCCTCTGAGGACTCTACCGCGCCAGGAACCTGTCCCTCTCCAACCGTCAGGAAAGGCTGTCCCTCTCCAACCGTCGTCCCGGAAACCTCAGCTTCGCCCGGTGGCACTCGGCACAGTTCGGCGCCGCCCGGAGTTACGCTTCCGCCGTGATGTTCGACGCCCGTGCAATCCTCGCGATGCCGGAGGCGATGTCCAATTTTCATTTTCCGCGCTTCGCGAAGTGATTACTCGTTTACACAGTTAGATACCAATCCCAAATAATAATACGGCCATCGCACTATTCATCACCACTGCCTTTTTTCATTCACTCCCATTGCCTCAAATACCACGTGGCAATATTCATCACCAGCACTGTTTCCTGTCCAAATATTGCACAGACAATTTTTATCTCGCTCACTCCATACTTAATTTGTGATTTTCCTCGTGTTCGTCTCTTTGCACCTTCGGCAATCCTATTTGTTACCAATTCCGACTTGTTTCCGTCCGAGATAATTTCGCGTCTCATGCGTTCGTCTGCCATCCTTCTTGTCTAACCTTCCACTCACTTCTGTTCTCCGCGCCACCAACGAACTTCTCGCTTCCCCTGGCTTGAAGCGTTGGGAAGACCCGTTCATCTTTCGTTGATGCCGCGGTTCGCGGCGCCGCTTTGTTTTGCGCGCGGTTTTTGAACTGTTGTCTTAATCAATTAGGAGACCTATCGGGTCTCAATGCATTAAGCACTTTTTATCATAAAAAATATTTGCAGTTTCCTGTGCTGAATTCAAAGTTTGATGGTTGAATTTCAATATTCAAGTCACGCACTTCAAATATTACTTGTTATCCCCAATGATTTCAATGTTAACATTTTTTATGAAACGTATTGTCAATATATTTTGCTTCGCAAGTTTTAATGTACGTTTGATGCCATATCTTCCAATATAATTGGGACACGACTTGATGACCCTGGTGACTGAAGAAAACAGTTGTTTTGGTGACCTACGCAATATTTGGGCTTAAATTTTACACAAATAAAGTCTTGAAGATCCACAAAATTATTGTTCCTCATACATATGATGATACTCTGTACAATACGTTCAGGCATTGCAAGTAAATGAAAACTTATTTCTTGTGAGCTGTGCCCATTAGTGGATTGTTTATTTTAATACAAAAATGCGGAAAATATATATATATTTTCACGTGAAACATCTGAGAATGGCAAGAAAATGTTTAGACGTGTGAATTGTGAATTACGAAGATGAGCGGGACATCTAACTTACCTACTCTATACTTGAAATAGCCATCTAACTTTTCTTGCTTCAAAGCAGTAATCTATTTTTGTCCTCTTTCTTCCTATGGTGGTATAATTTTACATTCTTGATTTCTGGGAACAGTAGGGCATCTAAAAAAATCTTATTGTCTCTCCTGGCTTTTGTGGTTGTTGTCTGTTTGTGTCCTATCGGATACAACTTGGGTATCGTGAAAATACAACTTCATTTTAGAGAAAAAAAACATCTCACGAAAGTGTGAGTTAGCGCAAAAGTGTACTTTCATGAAATTAAAAAAAAACGTTTAAATCATTATATGTAGAGGAATACCTCCAACGAAGAATGGTTACGACGTTTTAAAAGAAAATCAACACTTATGTTTATATATAAGCTCACGGCTTCTATACTGAGTTCTTATTTCTTGACGCGTGAGGGTTTGTCTTCACGATGGAATATCTCATGACATTTCGCGTTTTTTTCGGTCGTGCCGCTAGATGTCACGTTAAATACTTTTTGCTAGATGGCACATGATCACGAACATATCGAGCAGTGCTGGCGATCTTGCGACACCTAGAGACATGTCCGAGAAAGACGCGGAATGCTGTGAGATATTCCATCGTCAAGATAGGTCTTCACGCGCCGAACAATAGAACACGTGTATAGCAGTTTGCCGCTTTCCACCGGCTGTGCTGTGGCGACGGTGCTGTCCTCCGATCACGTGTTCTGGACATCTCTATGGAATAATCAATCGGGTCCTTTCTCTCAATTTGCAGTTTGCAGAGATTTTTTTTCCACTGCTCGTTTATTCGTTCGTCTTTCACCTTGGTCGCATCAAACAATACGTTCAATGAATCAAAGTTTTGTTTCTTTCTGCATTGCTCATAATTTTTCAGACAGTGTGGTAGTTTTGCACAAATGGGCTTGATCAGATGCATACGGGATGTTTAATGTTTTGCTTCATAGGGCTGTAAGCTCCACAACAATTAGACAGATTTTCTCTCTCCGTTCTTTGTCAGTGGATTAAAGAAATTTGAAGCGTCCAATGACGTGGTTTTTCAGTATGCAACTTCATTGACTCAAGGTTGCATCATAAATGTCCACGTTGCGTCTTCTTGACGGCGCTTGAAACTGAACCAAGTTCTTTATCCAGGTGTCCTTGTTCTCCTCCACATTAGAAGAGCTCTTCTTGAAGAGATCTTCTTCTCATGAACTGAAATAGAAAAGGCCTTAACGTAAATATTAAATAGGTAACAAATTCATAAATAATGATGTTGATAACAAATTATATTACTACATAAAAATTAAAAATGGTTTGTGCGTGAACTTGTTTAATATTTCAATGAAATATGCCTCAATTTAGTTATTAACAGGCACAAGTCTATTCATGTGTGATACAAGAAATACTTTTTGAGAAAAAAGAAAGAAAAGTCATTATCCTAATGCACATGTCTTCCTGACTTCCAGATTTCCTACGCACTCATACTACACATTATAATAAATGAAAGTGGAAATCAATGTGTACAAATAAAATCCAAAAAATTCTTAGTGGCTTATACGTGTTATGAAACTGGTTTTGTCCAATACGTTCCGGGGAAGTATGTAAATGACAACGTATTTATAGTGAGAGCTAAGTCGAAAGATTCTTTTAGTGAATCGTTTATATTATTGCAAAAATGTAAAATAAACTGTTTTCTTTTGCAGGTGAGAATGACATGGAGGTTTTTGGACAGCGACGTATGAAAATGATAGTATCTTTAATAAATGGCCACGGGAAATTTTAAATAAATCATCTTTTAACTTTCCTCGCTTTAAATCAAAAATAAATTTGTATGGTCTTTATATTCCGAAGATGCTCTGATTTTACTTTCCCGATATCTGGCTAAGAAGCAGGGATCTAAAAGAGCTTACTGTCTCTCCCGCCCCGTGTCATGCCAATTTGGATCGTGAAAATACAACTTTATTTTTGAGAAAAATGAACTTCTTACTTCTAGAAAGTGTATCTACACAAAACAAACGCCTTTTAAGTCAGTGTAGGAAGTGGAAAATCCCTAACGAAGAAAGATCTCAACGCAGTAAAGAAATTGACACGTATACCGTATTCTAATCATTTGCCCGTGGCTTCCATCATCTGACATTTGACACCCGAAGGTGTTAGTGCCCTGAATAGCCCTGAAAGTCACGTGTTCTGGACATAGGCAATTAACGACCCTGGTCCAGGACTGCTCTAGGACCCAGGAGTCAGTTAAAAGTTCGAAGCCCGAACAGAACGTTACAACAAACACCATTATGTTTCTCTAACGTTATGCCATCGATTCGAAGATATTATGAAGTTATTCATCTTAACGCATTATTAAGTTATGCTGGAAACAATATGCGTGGAAGAGGCTTCTTTTCTGCGTATGAACTTCCCGCTGTTTTGAAAGTTTCAGATCGTGGTATGCCGCGAAACCACCTTTGAAAACTGCGTTGGAGTATCAAGCTCTTCTTGATCAAAAAACCGAAAAGAAAAAGCGAAGAGAGCAAATGAAACTGGTTGGTGCACGACGTTATTCCAGTGCGACCCAAGAGGTTGTTTGCCTTGAGGACTTTACTTTTTGTAGAATAAATAATTATAATAAGTCGATGACTTGAAGATCCTTTCAATTTCGTTAAAAACCTGCAAAGGTATATTTCAGTAAATGGTATTCATGAGACCTTAAATTAATTTATTTCTTGGTAGTATTGAAACGAACATTTTAAAGATCCAGTTTCATATTATTTTGATCTCTAATGTAGTAAAAGTGATTTCATACTTGTTTTCGTTATTATATTCGTCGTATATTGGAACCGTCTATACACGTGCAGTAGTTAGTTGTGCTATTATTATAGTAAAGCGTTAGGAATGCAAATTTTCTAGTCTTTCTGCTATACCTGACTTTCATTGCATTTCGTTTTTTGTTCAGCCACAGAATACAAAACAATGTGAAAATGCTGCTTACATCAACGATTGGCCGTATTGGATGGCGGCTCACTCCTGATTGTGGAGGGTGTTTAATCGGTCTAAGATGGCGTCTTCTGTTCGAAGTGAATGTTGGTGAATGTTTATAAGTGAGTTTGTGTGATGTAGTTAAATTAATTTCTTTTTTTATTATATAAACGCGAAAACTGAAAAAGTGAAGATTTGTTGTACATTTTTATTTGTGTTTTAGAGATGAAGCAGTCTTCTAATCACTATAAGCAGACTAGTAAGCTGACACAATACAGCTCGGGTGAGGATGATAGTGGAACAGAAGATATTTTCACTCAGAAAGATTTCATATTCAGTAGTTATTTGCACCGCCCAGTAGATCTCAAACAAAAGAAACAGCTGTCACCCACTTCAAATTTGAGACAGAACAGATTGAGGAGGACAGGTATGATTGATACACCTGTGCTTTCTGTAACTCCTCGTATAGAAACCAGCACAATTCGTAAGACTTCTACCAGGTTGGTCTCATCAACTCTGCTGCCAAATCCGGCAAGATCGAAGCATTCTGCTAGCATAAATGCTCCTCTAAGACATAGGTCACCAGTTGTTAGAGCCAGGTTGTGGAGTGAACGAAATAGTGATGCCGATCTTATGGACAACCGTGGAACCGTTTTGGATTCAGAAATATCTCCAAAGACGCGTGTTTTGTGTGAAACCAGTGATCAAGTGCCCAACAGTAGTGGAAGTACAAACGATAATATTCATTCATTTCCTCGACATGGACCTCTGAAGAAATCTGATAACTGCCGAAGAGTTCTTTCAGATATTACTAAAGAAACAGGTAGGGACAGCACACACAAAATATTACTTTACAGTTACAGTAGGTGGCAGTAAGATAAAATATTTCCTCATAAGCTGGTCATGTACATGATGAATAATCTGGTGCTTGTGTTTTTAGTGGTTATATTTGTGATTTCATTGGAACATATTCTTTCAATCTTAATTATTATTTACTGCGACCAGAGTGGTAATTAAATCTAATGGTTACCTATATTTACCTATTTACTTGTTTGATGAATAATGTAATACTAGCAGTAGTGCTTGAGTGAGGCTATTTTTTCTGAGAAAGGTTGGGATGAGAAATGCTAAATACAAAGAGAAAGACAAAATGTTGCTATTGCTACTTCTGCAGCAAATAATTTATAATATGCTGGAACTATTGCCAAGCTTAAGGAAAATGTAAATTACAGCTACAATAATAGAAGTCATCTGTTGCTGTGAAATATTTCTGAAGTTTTATCATGTAACTTTGTTAAGCGACTTACCTTCAGTAAACATTGTTCTATAATGAGCAAAAAATAGGCCATGTATTGAAAAATAAAATAATTTTCCTGTGAAACACTCTTATTATGAATTGTTTTTTCAGAAATTGATGGTTGTTGTATTAAAGCATTATGCTTAGTACATCTGTAAAGGATTTGTTTGTATTATGTGGCAAATGTCTCAAGATGTTTGTTCATGTTAATGATATATCACAAATTTTTAAGACTTTGTGAAGAAAGTTCATATGAATTTATGTAATATTATAAATTCTTCCAACATTAATTTTGTTGTTTTTATTTTATAATTTTCATTAATAAACAAAATAATCTCCAATATTTGGTAATTTTGTTTTTGTCGCAATGCTTGTCCAAATGGAACAGTATTTTTAGATCTTTAATACTTGGATGATTATACAGTTTAATTATAATAGCAGCAAAAGTTTTTGGTATATGTGATGATATTGGAAAATTGTTGTAATGTTTCTTTCATTTGCCGAATGAGTGGTGACATTTCCTTCGAAAGGTCTTTTTTAAATATGTATGTTCATGAAAGCAAAACAAAAATGTGCCGAAGGACTCAAAATTATAGTATTCTGTAAACTTTTATTTCTTACATTTTAATAATCTTAGTTGTTTATGCTGTGTGGCATTTGTATGGAGAGCTGTTCTTGTTCATTATATCAGTTTATTATATACAATATTTTTTTTATGCTAAAAAATTGAATTCAGTGTGGTTAATATTTTGGGGATTATTGTGAGAATGAGTCCTTGTCCCCTCATTTTAATTACTGAATTGGTAGATAGTTAAAAATTTTTTGCAATTGTCATTATTGTGCTACTTTGGTATTAGTTGGATAAGTTTATAGAACATTCTAGATCTTTGTTAGTTTCTATATTTTATTGTGATTATTGTTTGAAATGAAGTTCTCTATTTCTGTGCATGTTCTCGTGAATTTGAATGTCATGAGACTTCCTCCTTGGATTTCCAGATTTGTGAAAAATTGTGTTTTCTTGTTTTGAAAACTTTAGGTGTTAGTTTTTTAGGAAATTTGTTTCAAATAATTACTTTGATGTACTATAATGCATGTTGATTTATGTGTTGTTATAAATTACAAGATGTGAAATTAAATTTTTTACACATTGTCAGTAAAAAATCAATAAATGTTTTAAAATTCAGTGTAATTGTGGAAAATGCTAAATTACTCAAATAGAGTAATTTCTTAATATAACAAATACAGTAGACTTGCAGTTATCCGAGGTATTTGGGACCGACACCACCTCGGATATGAAAAAACTCGGATAAACCAGTTTTTATTCAGTAAAGGTTCAAATGCAAAATACAAATCACAGAACAGAATATAAGTGATTGAATATGTTTATCGCAGTCATAGAGACAACTAAAATGGAGTGACAATGTTGGAAAAGCAAATCCAATTATTATCAAATTCAGAGATGTTCCAATATTCCTAGAATAAGTGACAGTATTACCCAGTGTCTACACCAGTTTACTTCTGCAGCAACTAATTTATACACTTTTGTATTGTTTTCATCAAGGAATTATTTTGTTTATTTCTGAACACTTTCTCAGTTAACCCAGGGCCTCAGTTAACTGGGACTTGGATAATCGTGAGTCTACTGTAGTGAGATTCTGGTTGCAATACTCATTACTGACACAGGACACTTTTTTCATGCCATTGATGACAAGATACATGATATGTTGCTTTAACTTTCTAGCAAGAATTTTCTATTTTGAATATATTGAATAATCATTCAGAATGATGAAAAATACATTAAAAGAACTGCACTTGGTACAAGTGCGTGAATTTAATTCATAGTACTGCAATGATAATATACTAGAATGTAAATAAATCTTTTGCTTTCTTTCCTTAAAATTCTTTTGTTAGTCATGATGTAGTGTTAATGTCACTGCTATGAACTCTGTACGATGAAAGTTCTTAAGAGTTTTGTTTGAAGTTGTACCATCAAAAATGTACGAGCACCTACACGTTCTTATCACTAGATGCTGAAAATTTTTTGTGAGGTAAAAGAATGAATTTAACTCGGGCTTAAATACTGAAAGTTTGACTATTAACAAGCTCCAGCCCATACATGAGTTGGTGCTAAAATAATTTCATATTGGGAATCAACATTTATACGGCAATTTATGCAACTCTGCCCTGGGGAGGAATCAGCTGTTGACGGTTTTATCCAATTGGAAACTTGAACGTCACTATGGGACCATTGAAGCTCCTGATTGGATGAAACTGTCAACAGCTGATAACTGCTAGAGGCAGAGTTGCTAAAATGTCAGTATGTATAACAGAACAACTTTTTTCTGGCATTTTAATTTGACTCTTTGTTTCTTTTACACACTAATTAATTAGCTTTTCTACTGATTGACTCGGTCTTTATGACCTTAGGGAGATGTCTTTCATGGTCTCTTTTATTGCAGCTTTGAACTATTGTACATGATGTATTCATATAAAGTGCCCTTATTTAAAATGAAAGAATTTTTGGACCCACATTTTTTCTAAATATTTCTTCATGAAGATCTGAATCTTGTCTAAGTAACTTGTAATGAAATATATTATGAAATGTCATCAATCCCTAGAGATTTTTGTATCCTTTAATATGATGACTCTGTAAACAAAATATTTCATTAAACTGAACAGTTTAAATTTGGATGTGTGCTGTGATCAGAAATGTCTAATTTTTCCTATTTATTGAAATTTGCTATTTAGAAAAGAGAATTGGAGAAGAAAATTAGGAAAGGAAAAATCGTGCTTAAAAAAAAGTATTGTTGAAAAAATGCCTTGATATGGTGTACAGAATTTTTATAACATATAAAATCAACCCTGTGTTGTAATGATCCTCAAGGAACTTACTTTTTGGTTCACTGTATCTGAAAATATGAAAATACACTTACTTTCCGTGGATTAATTTAGATATTACATAGGCCCAGAAAAAATATCCAAATACTGCGAATTCGACATTTCAATGTATTAATTTTGTCTTAAAATAATTATTTTTATTAGTGTTAGCTGGATACAGTTTTATTAATGCTATTTTGCAGACCCTTCTCGAGAGTCTGTCTTTTCTAGTGTCGGCTCGTAAAATATTTTAGTATTGTGTTGATACCCTAGAATGACTTGCTCTGTTGAAAGACTTTTTTGTTTGTATCCTCATTGTCTTCACACTTGTTTTCTTCTATGTTTTCTGAAAGAATCTTTCACAGCGTTCATGACGTCCAGGCCAGTGGATTTCAACTATTTTTCATGTGGTAGTCTGCATCAATCGAATCTTTATAAGATTGTCTTTATGTACATAGAACTAATTTGGAAGTTTTATTTCCCATTTCCACTGCAGCTGATAAGTAAAGTTCACTATAATTGAATTGGTTTGTGTTTATATGTAATGTATTCGAATGAGAACCAGTGGCTTTGGTTCAGAGTCTGCTGTAATTTAAATCATGTGTTTGGATGATTTTATGCAAATATTTAAGAGCATGAAAGGTTTGAAGAGAATTAAGACTCAATTTTTGAAATTTGAAACATTCTATAAAATATTGTTACCATATTAATTACATTTAACTATATTTGAACCAAAAATGGAAATATTTTGGTGCCATTTGTGAGAAAATTTTGAACATGTATGAGATTTATAAGTAGCATCCAGAATTAAATGTTGCTCTTATTTGCTGTATATCAGTTTGAAGCAATCTGAAAAATGTGTGTGTGTGTGTTTCCCCTCTAATTTCTTCCCACACAAAGAATCACGTACTCATGTCGTAAAATTGCTGGTGTTAAATTTCAGCAATTTTGAGAATTCTATTATAAATCTTGTAAAAATTGATAATTTCTTAATTAAACATATGAGAAGTATTAACAATTTAAATAAATCTAAGAATAAGAGTGTGTCCTTAAAGGAAATCTTTCAAATTCATTGGCTATTTGGTTGATTTATTAGTAAAGTAAAAGTTTGCCTTTTATTTATGTGAAGTGATGTGTGTTGATTCAGTTACAGATTTTAGATTCCAATTTCCTTCCTACTTCTCAAGAGATGTGTTGCCTTTGGATGCAAGTGTAAATTCTAAATTTGATGATTTGTTGAGTGCAAAAGATCGTAAAAGTGAAAATAGCTTTGTGAAGAAAAATACAAGTAACTTTGAAGAACCATCAGCTAATGGAATACCAGCAAGGACAAGGTTTGTAATCTTAATTGCTTTTAATTGTAAACAAATATATTACTATTGTGTGTGAGAGTTCGTTAGGGTATCACAAGATATGGTTGTTCATACTAAACACAGATTTTGTGCTGTTTTTATTGCATTTACCACTAGTTTGTTGAGATGGCCAATTGGATTTCTCTATATAGAGTATTTTGTTCACTTCGATGGCTAAATGAGTGTTACATCGAAGATTAATTGGTGAAGCAAGTAAAGTTTCAAAATTTTGATATTTCTAGATAGAATATGTCTCCTATGTATGCATGGTACATCATATTTTGTGTATCTCTCGTGTGACCAAATTCGTTCATTAACTGGTTTTGTCAAAAAGTTTGATTGAATTTATTATTATTATTATTATTATTATTATTATTATTATTATAAAGAGTGACCCAAGGCTCTTTTTAGGGAAGAATTGATATCTCCAAAATGGCGAAAAATGTAAAGTAAAATAATCTGTGTTGAGAAGCATTGTAACAATTATAACAATAATGTTGTCCTTTTGCAGGAGTACTTTTTCAAACTCTGTTGATGTGAGTAAGGAATTCAAAACAACCGAAGAAAAAGGTTGGTTTTCCTTACATTATCAGAAAGTGTCAATGATTCTAGTTGTTATTGTTCTGTTGTTTTTCTTTGGAGTGGGTCTTATATATTTGAATGTCCGATTCAAAGATGCTCAGAAAAATCTTTCTCATAAGTACGGTGAGTTTGTTTTGTTCTTGCAATAATGATTTATTAGCTTAGAAACTTGTGTTGATTAATCAGATAAGAAATTCTTGTTTTAGAGAGCAAGTATCCGGTTTGTGACAGCAGTGTACAACACCAAGTAAGTTTGAAATTATTTATCTTCTTTTGCTTTTTCTTGTTTCACTTATATGAACTTTCCATACTTTCCCAGATGCATTACTAGTGAAACTCTCTAAGTTCAGGAACATCAAGTCAGGCAAGCAGTATTCATGATGCAAGTCATTTCACATGCTGATCTAATTCCAATGTCACAAATGTATACATACTTCAGTACATGCAAATCATGTCTTATTCATTCACTTATTTGTTCTTCATATCTTTCAATTGTAAGGCATTTAGTAGTTGTTTTGCTTGTTCTTTGAATATAACCATATCATGAAGCAGACAAAAGACCTGCCAAATAAAAAATTCCTGCTAGTTAAACTTATTTTTTCTGTAGTGAAGCCTCCATATATTAACTAAATACAGCATAAAGAAAATATTAAATTTTATCTTGAACATAGTTTCAAAATATTTTCGCTTTATTTTATGACTATAACAAAATATTTTTTAGTGAACGTTTTCCATTAGCGGAATGTCAATTCAGTAGGTGGTTCCATGGCTCTAAGACAAGTTAGTCAACGTTTGTGGAATAAAAGTGAATAATATATGCGTGTTAATCACTATGATCCTCGTGGTGTGGCAACAATAGCCAAAAAAAATGGTCACATGACTGAACGCTCTGTAGTATGTGGAACTCTCTTTATCTTGTGAAATATATATTTTGAAAATACAATGAAAAAATAGTTTTTTTTGCCCAAATGTAGTCATATGCTCTTTAAATGAAGTTATGTGCAATAGTGTGCACTCCTTAACAGCTTTTGAAATCACGTCCATGAGAAGTGAATGTTAGGTAACTTGAATCCTTGTCAAAATACAGTCAGTATACTCACATTTTTTTAAAATTAACTGTATTTAATGCAGAATTTGACCTCTTTAAAATGGTATATGACAGGAGTATGTATGTAGAATGTCATGTTTTAGACGTTTGGTGAGCTTTTCAAGCTATTGTCCCAGTGTAGGTCAGCTATCAGATGGAGTGGCTGCTAATTGCAGTGAAGATATGCATAATTTCGAAGAGGAGGAATGTTGTATTATGATGTCTGATCTATCTGATCATTAGGCACGTGTTCTTGGTCAGTCAGAGGAATTAGGTGCTGCTCTTACACAGGGCAGACACACGGGTCAACCCTACAGACTCCACTGATCACAATGGGCAAGTGCAAGGCACTCTTCTCAACAATGCAGCTATTGGGGTTGTTGATGGGAAGAGGGAGGGGGGATCTATGAGACCTAGCATGTGTGGCTTGCAGCTGTGCATCTCTGCTTGTGTAAAGTACAATGATTATGTTACTGTGTGATGGACAGCTTTGGAATATTTTCCATTACATTCATTGAAAAAGAACGCAGCAGAATTACTGACTTTCAGGATATACAAGCTGATCACTTAAACTAGAAATCTCAACAATGTTAACTTTTTAACTAACAACACTAATTTTCAGGAAACATGGAATTGTTTAAAATAATTCCTCCCAAACTTTTGTAATGTAGCTGACAAAATAATTCAATTGCAATAGAATGGAGAATACAGGCAGTAACTCAACAAGTGCCTTCAACAGCAGTGCACAGGAAAATGGCAAGATGCTTTTATGGGGGTACTCTCCTTGGGTTGTCTTCAGAAAAACATTTGTTACATTGATTGAACTGTTGCAACATTTATCAGTTGCTATTCATTTTTTGCAACTGGTAAAGAATAGCGCTTGTTGTACCTTATCCAAACCAATTTTACAATCATTCTTTCTTTTTTAAGGAAAATTTTCTGCTTTATCCTCTTTCTGCTTCCCATTTTTCCCTTCCATTGAGGCTGAAATTTCTTCCATTTGTATTAACCATATTTTATCATTTCTGCTTTCTATATTTCTTCCTTACAATTTTTCTTTAAATTTTTTGCTTGCTACAATACCTGTTTAATCTCATTTTGCTTGCTAATTGATGAAATTAAAGCTGGAATTTCATAATTAAAAGTTCTAAAAGAATCATGCATTTACTTCTTGAACCTTGCAGTTTGATTGAAATGTACTTTGTTTTTGTTTAGGTGGTATCTTGCATCAGAGAAGATCAGTTAAATGTGGTGACTTCATTGTTTGAGTCAATAACTCCACAGTTAATGGCAAGAGCTAGTGATTCTTTGTGTAATTCATCCAAAGGCAGCATGTCTGTTTCAGATAAAGATGTTTTGGATTACATACAGAGTACAAAATCTGTGGTTAGTTGCTCAATTAACGTTAAATTAGAATAATTTGTGTAATTATGAAAATAAGAATTGAACAAATGCCGAAATTAGTTAAAAGTAATGAGCTCACTCAACAAATGTAGTAATTGTCACCATTCCCGTCACCTTGTTGGATGCAATTATGCTTAGAGATTATATTCCTCAATCGTAAAGAAATCCAAATTGTGACAATGTTACTGAGTTACAATGCATTATAATAATTAAATTTGTTCAATGAATTGGTTGTCATGATCGAGATTTGAACCCGGGCCTTCTGGTTTACACCCAGCTGCTCTAACCACTAAGCTACAAAGACAACCAATCCTTTGAACAGTTCATAAATCATGATCGTAAAGAAATCCAAATTGTGACAATGTTACTGAGTAACAATGCATTTTAATAATTAAATTTGTTCAAAGAATTGGTTGCCCCGACCGGGATTCGAACTTTATCGCAACAATGTCCTGATTGGTAACCAATTTTTTGAAATAATTATATGCGTAGTCATTGCCAACAATATTATTAGACTATTCGTTTTTGTGGCTTCCATACAGCAGAAAACTGATAATGATGGCTAAGCCATCGAAAGCTGCTTTTTTAATAAATAATATTGTTGGCAATGACAACGCATATAATTATTTCATTAGAAACGCCAACGATAACTCACCACAACACCTAATACCAATTTTTTAACAAATTAAAATACAATGTTACTCAGTAACATTGTCACAATTTGGATTATGATTGCGGAATATATTCTCTGACCGTAATTGTGTCCAACAAGGTGACGGGAATGGAGACAATTATTTATATACAGACAAGGAACGATAATCACGCTTATGAAAACTGTTCAAAGGATTACTTGTTTCAGTAGCTTAGTTGTTAGAGCAGCTGGGCGTAAACCAGAAGGCAGTTTTTTGAATCCCGGTCGGGGCAACCAATTCTTTCAACAAATTTAATTACTAGTAATTGCTATATATTATCAGACTGACTTAAGTAATCAGGCAGCTCTACACTGTTAGCCTTTAGGAAGTACATGGTGATTGCTAACTCATTCCCAAGTAGTTGAGGTGCTCAGTGAATTGCCTCCTTTTATATGCCCAAAAGATGAACACATTTAGGTGGGGCAAACACAGAATATTTTACACTTGACAAAGAGCATGTAACCCATTCTCACTACCAAGGATTTGGGATGTGGTAACTTTGCTACTCATTAAATACTGAATGTATGGTCCCACAATTAGGAAGTTTTAACAGCCAGAAGAGCCTGATTCATGTTAATTTTAGACTGAGAAATTGATTTGTTTTAGATTTTTAGTTTTTAAATATATATTATTATTATTAATAATAATAATACTGCTACTACAATTAATAATAATTATTATTATTATTATAGATTGTTGAAGTATTTATTGAACAATACTTACATTTTGAATTATAAATTACTTTCAGAATCGTAAATATGCTGAAAATTTACTGAAAGATGTAAAAATCTTGGTGCTATCCAATCCTCATTGGGATGTAGCAGTGGTTCAGGATTTATCTTTGGATGACATTGGAACTGAAACCCATAGAAATGAATTTCTTAATGATAATTTGTTACATCATGGACGCCTTGTATTCAAAAATCCACTTGTACCTGTTAGTTGCCAGTTGAAGCTCTGGTTTAAAACCTTTTTAAGCTGGGTATCATCATTCACTGCAGGTAGGTAGGCGTAGTAATTTCTTTCTGTTTGTTCATAAATTAAACATTTGTATGTTGACAATTTCATTCCTTTTTACCATACCTGCTTTATCTTATCTTCTTGAATACCCTTCAAACTCTTGTATATTTAATGATAGTGTTAACCACCACATTTGGGACGTAGGTTCATGGATCATGATTTTTTAGAGCAAACAACACCAATATGATATTGCTTTGAGATAGTGTGAAACCATATGTATCATGTAAGTTAATTACATGTTAGAAAACTGGTACTAGTAAGTTACACAATTGTAATGAGAATCCATAGTGACATGGTTATTGGGTGAACTTTATCTTGACTGGCTTGGGTGGCTCAAGACAACAATTGATGTCGCTGAAGTGCCTATGACCAGAAGGTCGTAGTGTTTGAGTCCCAATGGTGGCAAGATTTTCAACATCAGCTAGTCAGCTGGTTCTAATTCAGCTGCTGTCTGGAGGAGAATTCTAGTAGCTGGCTGCTCTGACCAGTAGTTTTTGCTGATGCCGGAACAGTACCCTAACAAATGTGCCACAGTCAATGGGTGACCTTTCCTTCCTCTTCCTTGTCCTATCCTCACCCCTTTCATGCACTACACCACCACACGTGTTGGGACACTACTTGGGGGCTGAGAGCTTGTCCCAGCTGCGGTGGTGCCCCTCTGGTGGGAGATACCTGGTTGGGGAAACCCCCATGAATCTATGTATGTCATCGTCAATCAATGAATGATGTATGAGAAACTGATAACAATATTGAAATATTTTGAGAAAAATATCCTTAAATAATGTACATTCACAGCAAAATTTTTTAACCGAGAAACTCATATTGTGGGGTCTTGGTATTGAAAAAGAGGATAAATCTTTTTGCAATATGTAATAAATTAGTTCCTCTAACGCGTAGTGTAGTCTGAATCCTCATTTCATGGGTCCTGGATACCGAAAAAATCGATTGACGGCAAAATGTCTGTGCCTAAAACATTCCATTTTCTCCAAAATTTATATTCCCTGATTAATTTGAGTTAACTTAAGGCTCTATGAGTGTGAAATGGATACAGCAAAACCCCTTTATAAGAGATACCTGGGAGAATGAAAGTTTGTCCTTTATAAGTAGGAACACTTATATGTGGGAAATGGGTTTTCGACATGTTTCATGAAATCTTACCATATTTTTAATGAATTAGTATGATTTGCACACGATTTTAAACTTGACAAAACATTAAGTTACTTGATACCAAAGCCCATTTAGCCAGATTTTTTGAGTTTCACTGTACAGCAAACTCTTGTTGTAAGACAGAAGAAATTAATACCCATTGTTATTCTTCCTATATATGTAACTTCCATATTCTCTCACAAAATGTTCTCATCAGCAGGGACACCTACACTTCTGCACTGTTGAAACCACTCCAAAGAATCTTTTCTGTTTCCTTGAATGGTGACAAACAAATATTTCTTCACTGCTCTCGTTTTCTGGACTTCTTTAATTTCCTCTCTTCTGGAAAATTTTTTTGAGTGATGAAACTGGTATTTTTAGTGTTTCCACAACAGCTCTCCATGATTGCCCTTTAGACTTGTCAACTTCTTAATGTCATACTTCTTGGCTAATGACAAAACCTTTTGTTTTAATGCCATCACTCGCAGATCTGTAGAAGGCAGAAACAAAATACAATAAGAGTTTTTCTGACAAAAATCACTGTTTCTCTGCTCACGATTACGTAACTTTCTTTTCTTATGAACGTCTGTCATAAGACATTTGTGAGCATTTAAATTCATACATGTAGTACTAATGTATGTCTGCATTGTGTTGAAACCGATTGAAAGCACTGAAGGAAAATATAATTCTGTAAGGCAGCTCCCCAGCACTATAAACAATTGGAAACACATCGGCACTGTAGAAACTTCCTTGTTGCCAAGAGACACAAAGCTTACAGAATGAGCTTACCTGAAGAGAACTTCACCCCCACCTCTGTGGAACTGGAGTTGCGAAACCCTGCTCCAGTCTATTTCCCTTACCTTGCTGACAAAATTCCTTGATCACCTGTGAGAAAATTCATCACTTTATCTTACAAGCAAGGTGAAATGCATGGCAGGGAATGCAATCTTGTCCACAATAGACGGAATCTCTTATAACAGTGTTTCTTAATTGCTGGAAATAAATGCATTGTTTATATACAACTGACCTCAGGATTGTGGATTTTGTCTGATTCTCTTATAACAGGGTCTCTTACAATGGGAATGGGCTATTGCTGTCTTTGGATTTTTCAGGGGTACTTAGAAGAATGATGCAGGTCTCCTTATCATTAAAATCAATTTTTTGATAATTGCAGATTGTTCAGCGTGTTCCTACAAGTACAATATTAAAGATACAAACTTTTTTGTTAATGAAATCTTGTGCAGGTCATGTGTGAAAATGGTGGATGAGTGAATGTATTTGCACAAATTTCTATTGTTTTGTTTTTGAAGTGAAATTATTTTCAAGGGTTGGCTTTGGATGTAATTTTTAGTAAGAGAATTGGCCTGTTGCAATTGTGGATAAATGTAAAACCACATGAGTAAATGATTATCATTAAGTGAGCCAATTGACTTGAACCGAGCTGATTGATAATTTGCTTGAACGCCGGAGTACTTCTATCTGAGGCAGAATTTGATTTCTGTAGGAAATTGCCAGTTTTGTGGCAACAATCCACGTCGGTTGTTGTTTTTTTTGTTGGTTTTTGAGCGTTTCCCAAATGAGTGAAAGTGCTGAATGCTGTCCTGTGATATGTAAATATGACAATATATCCACTTAGAAACGTTCTGTATTTTGTGTGAATTGCAATTCATTTTATCATATTAGCTGTGGTGAAAGAGTATGTGTTAAAATGAAATTAGATGAATTTCAATGTTGCTTGACTGAGATAATTATAGCTGCTAACAAATTCTTTCAGATCCTCAAATCAGAATTAGTAAAAACTATCAGAGAACTGTGTGATAAGATTAACTCTTTAGAAAGGAAGCTAACTGAAGAACAGAAAGGAGGTTTTGATGGTATTGAAAATTATATTGGGAAGATTTCAGATCCAAAATCTCATGGTGGAAGTGCCAGCATGCACGAACATAAACAGGCAAAACGAAGGTTTCACACAACATTATAAACCAGAATATCAGGGTTCAAAATCAGTGTATTAAATTCAAGTATTGGTAGTATATAGAGAGATGATTTATTACTTCTTATCATGCTAAAGGCTTTACACAGTGTGAAAGTAGCCTTATGCTTTGCAATTTGACCTACGTGATTTTTCCATTTGCGATTATTACAGATCATGATCCCTAGATCCTTCATAACTTCAATTTCAGTTACATTCCTTCCACCTATGTGGTAATTTTGATTGGGATTGGAAAAGGTAGCAACCAGATTTTCAACTACTTATAAACTTTATCCAAGTCTTCTTGGAAGTGGAGATGGTTCATCAGAGTTAATGGAGAATTCGGTGTCATCTGCATATACCTTGAAATGGTACTGTATACCATTTGATAAATCAGTAGTGTAAAATATGAATAAAATTAATCCCAATACCAATCCTTGGGGAACTCCGCTGCAAATGCTCCTCTGTGATTTCTTGTATTTTCCACTTCCAACATAAAAGCAGTGATCCTTGAGGAAGGACTGTATCCAATGCAGAAGCCTTCTCCTTATACCAAGACAAAGAAGTTTGTAAATGAGCTTGTGATGTGGTACCTTATCGAAAGCTGTAGTCAAAATTATATTGGTAGGTTTACCATTATGTAGGTATCCAGTCTTGTAGTGAAGATAATAAATTTATTAATATATCTCCCTGGTATGATGTCCATGTTGGTGTGCGAAAATACATCCAGTTCTCAAAGCCAAGCGAAAAATTGCCTGTACAATTAATTTTTCCAAACTCATTTTTTTTGAACAGCATGCTCAACATAATTTTTTTAAATTTAGTTTCTTTTCAATTCCATTTTTCCGAATGCTTTTTTTTTTAAAAAAAACTGCATTCCGTACATTAATTTTTTCGACTTTCTGATTCCATTGCATTTGATTTTGTTTTATTACCCATTTATATACCTGTTTGATTCACAAGAATGCTCTGCAGAGAAACATTTCTATTGCACAATCATTTCAATGAAAACTGTCATGAACAGGGTAATGTAATAATATTCGCCTCGAAAGAAAAAATGGAAGTTCATTTCTGAAGTAATATGAAGCTTCTTGATAGGACTTTCCAATGTAGTTTCATACTTTCTAAAGCCGTCAACACTATAGGAAGTGATGTATTGATAGTATATAGTACCTACATTTGCTCTCAGAAAAATGAAAATGGGAAAATGACATTCGACAAATCTCTGATTCGGACACTTAAATTCAGAAAGTTGTTAGGTAATCAAGAATCACATCTGCCAGAATTTGCTCAAAGACCTTGCACATTGAGCTGGTGTAACTAATAGGCCTATAATTACCGGATTCTAGTTTGCTATCTTTTTTAAAAACAGATGTCATATAGGCTACTTTCCATTCCAATGTCATATAGTAGTATATTCCGAATAGTTACGGAATATTCGGGGAGTTGCAGAATTTTAGTTTTCAAGCTACATGAGTACAAAATTTGTGTTAAATTGATTCAATTTTATCTATGGGTATAGCATAAAAATTTAATTGAATTGATGCCTTATTTCACGTGTTGAGACTTAGGCTATGGGACCTGCTGGTCCGTCTGATCACATAGGTTTCGTTATGCTCTTTTCACCAACTAGCAGAGAAGGAAGGTCTTTATTAGGTGACGAAACAGGCTATTTGAATTTAGCTCAGAGGCTTCATTTATGCTTGAGGATCTTTTATGCGCAGTAAACCTACTAACAACTAACTACTATGACCAAGAACATTTTCGGAAATATGTTAAATTAAAAAAAGGAGAGTAGGGGCCTTCCAAATACTATGCACTGTGACTCATTAACTTTAATGATACCAAATCTATCGTGGATTGGTTTGCGAGATATTTTTCATCTTTCTACAGGAATTTTAATGTCACTATTGATGGTGGACCAGTTGAAATATGAGTCTCCTCTGGCGCTGTGTGGTTTGGAAATTGGTGTACTTGACATATTGCACAGAATTCAAAAGTTAAGAGCTCAGCAGGTCCAGATAGCATTCCCTCTATACTATTGAAGGAAGAATGTTAATTCATTTTCGCACAAATTCTCAGATTGTTATTTGGAAAGCCTTTGACTGAAGGCTCTTTTCCCAGCAAATTGAAGTCTTTATTCATGCTACCCATCTTTATGTCTGGTGACAGAAATGACATCAAGAATTATAGACCAATTTCCATTCTGAGTGTTATCCCAAAACTTTTTGAATCATTGATTACGTAAAAAACCATATATGTTATTTACCCACATCTTTCAGATAGACAATTTGATTTTATGTCTGGGAGAAATATAGAAGTAATTTGTCCTATTACTCTTGTTATATACTTGTAGCTATAGAACATAAACTTCAAGCCAATTGTATGTATACAGATTTTAGCAAGGCATTCAACTCTGTGAACCACGATATTTTTCTAGTTAAACTGGAGCAGTTGGGGGTCAGTGGATTACTAGATTGGTTTCACAGTTACCTGGCTCATCGAGTTCAGATGGTTTCATTTAAGAGTATTGTTTCTGATCCTATAGAGGCATTTTCAGGTGTCCCTGAGGAGTCACTCTTTGGTCCGCTCTTATTTAACATTTTTTAAGGATATATGCGACAGTATATTGGACATAGAGTATCTGCATTTTGCTGATGACCTTAATTTTTTTTTTTTTAATCCAATCTGATGAAGACAAGAGTCCTTATGCAAACCACCCTAAATGCCTTATATGAGTGGTACGTGAAGAAAGATATTTTTTTCAATATCACGAAATGTAAAACTTTTTCGAGATCTAGATCTAATGAAACCTCTGACTATATGATGAATCTCACTCCATTAGAGAGAGTCTATACCATTAGAGATCTGGGCATGATTTTTGATTCTAGGATGACTTTCACGGATAATTTTCATCTCACAATAGTCAAAACTAACCAAGTCTTGGGATTCATTAAAAGATTCTGCCACGAATTACACTCAGTAGTGGTCTTGAGATCACTCTATCTTATGCTGGTCAAGTCAATATTGATGTACTCTTCTGTGGTTTGGTCTCCGTTTTTCCGAAATATAAATCACAAATTGAAACAGTCGAACACAAATTTTTCAGAATGTCAGCCTATGGTTTGGAATTGGACTTGGCTCTGCAACTGCACATTCCTTCACTGAGTTATCGGAGAGTCTTGAACGACTTTTTGAAAAGACTGATATTGGGTGAGGTTGATTGCAAAATCTTGCAAAACCAGATAGTGTACAAATCATTTAACTTCAATTCTAGAGCCAAAGATATTTTTTATGTTTACTATCAATTTTACACAGCAAATGTTATAAATTGATGTTGCAAATCAGTCAACAGTTTGAGAATTGATATATGTGAAAGAGATAAATCTGCTTTTTTATCACTAGTGAGCCACAAAATCTTGAAATTTGAATGAGTAGGTGTGGCAGAGTTAATGTTATACCAGATATGATGATGACCAGACAGATTGAATGTTGTTGTTTATAAATGTTTTTATTTTTGTAATTATGTCGCTACGGGCAAATTTTTTATTGTATTCTTTTTGTAAATAATGGACTTGTTTGTCCGTATAATAATAAATAAATAAATTATGCGGCAGATTCTAATATGTCATTATCATTATTATAACAGAATACAGTAATATTGGTTTAAACTCTGAAGGGGTCAGTGCTTGTTCGCGGAAGGCTGTGTTAACTGTGCTCTGTTTTCTTGGAACCGCCGGTGGCTTTTCAAACACGGAAGGGGACAGTGTTCATTTGCGAAAAGCTACGCTCTCCGTGAGAGGGAAAATCTATTTGCTTGGGAACTGGCAGTGGCCGTGAATGAATTTGATCATCTGTGACTTTACTTCCATCACCGATGCCAAACCTCAGCGTGTTCATATTGTAGAAGAACATCTGCTCAAAAGGTTGTACACTGTCTCAACTGAAATTCTCTATTTCATGATAGCTGCAGCAAACATGCACGCAAAAACACTTCTAATGACAGTCTTCAGTTTTATTGCTACTTTACTACTCTAGTAGAATTAATGGATTCCTGTAAACCTCCCTCATCAAACATGACCATGAATGGGGACTTAGCAGAATTATTCAAATCTAAAACTTAACGATTATATAAGATCTGACTCAGTAGGCATACTCTCGCTGAGAAGTTGATATTAGTTGAAAAAAACAATGTCAATTTATCTGCTAAATTGAAATCAGTGGAAAATGTTAACATTGAAATCTGCACATGTTTAGAAAAACGTGAATCTAAACATACCACCCTTTTGGAGAAGATTACAGCTTCAGACAATACTGCATCACCTGCAAAAACTATAGACCTTACTTGTGCAGCGGTAGAAGAAATCCAAAAACAAGCTAGGAGATCAAAAAACCTAATTATTTATGGCATCTCTAAAAGCAAGAGCAACAATGTTGAAAAAGAAACACAATTTTTATATGTAATGCAATGTTACAAACTTCAATCTCAGATTCATCCATGTTGAAAACACAACTGGAGAAAATGCATCTTGCCAAACCTGGTAAACAAGATGCAAATAAGGATAGACCACAGCTTCAGCACTTCAAATCTTCCACTGTGTCTACCACTTCAAGGCGAAGAAATGCATTCTTCAACATGATAAAAATCTACCTACAGATATTTCACTGAAACCAAACTTCAACCAAACCCTTTAGACCTCAATGAAGCCTGGCCTCTGTTCAAAAACACAACCATGGATATCCTAGATTGTCATTCTCCAGCACAGACAAAACCAAAAAATAAATCAATGCCATGGATTAAGTTAGATGCAGTTAAGTTATCGTTAGATGCAGAGGCGTTCATTCTTGCGATAAGTCTGAAAGTAAAAGTGGGCACAGATGATTGGTAGTACTGTTACTGCATAGCAAATGCAGCAAACGCTTGTATCAATAAAGTGAAAAAGTTTATTTTAAATTACATTTCATATTCTTTGTTTGCCTTTAATTATTTAAAAAAGTTATATTGTTCCTCTCTAAAACTATTTCTATTTAATCAATTAATTGTTACAGTTTAGTCAAGTAATAGATTAATGGAAATTCTATTTTTATTTGGCTGTAATTAATTAATTGAAAGAGTTTTGTAATCTCTATGTACAGTGACTTTAAATCTCATAGACGCTCTGAGAGGTTGAGTGCCTGGCGGTGGGAGTTTCGCACTGAGAGCCGAAAGGCAGACAGCCAAAATGTCCATTAAACAGCCTTCTTCCCCCTGATCAAAGTCTTCCCCTTCCACCAAGCATCGACTCAGTGTCTGATGGGACTCGAACAGTTGTTTTCACCCGTATGCAGAGCTCTAGTTATAATGAATGACTTATCATGGCAATTCTCCCCTTATGAAGAAATAATGGAAGTCATCTCCATCAACTTAATGTGTTGTTGATGAAGATGACTTTCATTATTTCTTCGTGTAATTACATCAACAGTATCACAACAGCTTTTCCACAGTTCTCCCCTCATTAATGCCGTCCTCTTCTCCTCAACTACCTTCCAAATTTAGTGTGATCTCTGGAGCCTACAGGTTACAGGTTTTTTCATCCAATATTCTCTTATTTATTTCTGTGTGCTTCACATTGTTAATGAGTTTAATTAATCAATTAAATGTGAATTTATGAAAAAAGGATGGAAATCGCTAGCATAATTTGCAAACTATCTCACCACAATCCCAATGAATTGCTTGAAGTTGGCCGAATCTACAGGAGTTTTCATTTGCAAACAAATTTAAAATATGTCACTTGCACATAATCGCCATGTATATAGTGTAATTGTGAGAAGATTGGCAATTGTTTTGCCAATACAAAACAAAACAAATGCCCTAAATCAAGTGAGAATACATGCTCTTGTACAATACTGATGCTGTGTGGCTGGCCACAGCTTTTATAGTTATTTGGTCATATTAGCTTGTTAGCTGGCCACCACAATATCTTACATTTTTGGCTTCTGGCCTTTTCTAACAGAGTATTCGAGGAAGTTATATATTTGACTGCTCTGTTTGACATAAACTTGCCAGACAGCTTTTTCCTCACTAATATAACTAGAGAATTTGAGGTATATTGATTTTCCCTATTTGGATTTCTCTTGTTTGTTCTCATCATTATCAATTGTTATCTTACAAAATAAATTAATTATGAATATATACTCCTTGTATGGTAAAGGCAATAGAAAGACAAGTAAAAATTCTCAATAGAAAATCATAATTTGAAGGGGTACGCCCACTGAACACTTACATGTTTTGCCATGCAACTGTAGACCATTGTTTAAAATCCAGGAAACTATTGAGAACTGTAAATCACAAAAATTTAAAAACATTCAAGATGATGTTTTAGTTTATTTAAGTTTTTGATTTTTATTTTAAGAGAATTAGGCCTTGTAGTGGATGGGTTCTGGTTAAGATGTGCAGCAGAATGTGGAAGATAGCCAAATCAATCTGGCTGAAACTAAAACCTCTTTAAGGAGTTATTCTGTATCTTAGCAAACTCATGTGACTGATCATGATGAGTTCTGTAGATGTTAATTAATTCCTAAACTGCTAAATTCTCCTTATTTTCTGGTCGTTAATGTTTGGTATAGAACAGGACTGTGGAACTCCAGTTTTGCATTTTCGAGAAGAGAATATACTAGAATTAAGTATCGTGCCATATTCAAATTCGTCTTTAATGTAACGATTTAGTATAACACCCTCTTTGAGTAACGCTTGAATGGAAGGAAAATTTTAGTATGTTTATTGTGTCTATTTTTGTTTCATTGATATAATTTTGTGGCGTATCTGTTATTAATGTAGAATATTTTAAAATGTTTTTTATCAGTTTGTATTGTGGTTACTGGACTACTGGTTGCTTTGTGGGATTATAAGCGGCGTTCTGAGCAACATCGTCAAGAGGTGTACACTTTGGTAAACAAGATCATTAGTACAGTAAGAAATCATCACCGCCGCATGCAAACTCCTGGAGCTGATGGAACAACTTTTATTTCTGTTGATGTTTGTCGGAATGAAATTATCACCTCCCAGCAATCAAATTGTAAGTAAACCTTTATTTATTGCTATTATAACTGCTTTGTTATTGAAGTTGGTAATGAAGTTTCCAATATTTAAGTTACTTTCAGTCTCAGTGTTTATCAATATGGTGTTATCTCTCTACTTTTTCTTTGTGTGAATTAGTTAAGTAGACATGGTCAGTTGGTAGGTATGAAGGTATTTGGAAATACGCTGCAGTTTTTTGTTCAATTACATCTTGGAAATATCTTCACTTCCATTTTCTTGTGTGAAATGTTTTAATTTTGCCTTTCACCTAATGTGGAAAGTCATTGAAAAGTACAAAAGATGATGTTGCATTTCATTTGCCATCCAATGCAAGTACCACTTTTCTTTTGAGAAAATCTAGTACTGATTTGTCTTAATATTGCTGTAAAATGAGATATAATCTCCATGTTACATTAAATCTTTACAATATTACGTTCTGAATTCAGTAGTACACTTTGTGTTTGTCTTAGAGCCTTTTGCACAATATTTTCTAATTATTGCTATTTACCCAAGCACATTGTTCCATCTTCAGAAGTCAAGTTTTTCTCTATAAATAATAGTTTCATTCTAAAAGTAGAGGTCATAGAAATTACTTTTGGAGGACTGTAGTTTTGCAATGTTAGATGAGAGAAATCAATATGAAGAAATGATTGGCAATTCTCATATATTGTGTTTTATTAATGAGTTCAGACATATTCTAATTGTTTTTATAGGTGTGTGAGAATTAATGCTGCAGAGCACCACATACTACTGTTCTTTTGTGGGTGCAATTACATATTTGTTTTTATTTATTTAAGGTAATATACTGGCAACAGTACAATCTGATGTGGCCCGAATCGGCGCCAACATAATTATCTTTAACATATCACAATGTTTCAGATCACATGTAAATATAAATATCACATATCACAATAATTGACACAATTATTGAAAAGGGAGAACAGAGTCGGCATATCAATGAAGTCCACGGTCTTCCTCGTTAAAGAAACCATCATAAGCTCTTTTGAACACCTGAAGGCTAGGTGCGGACACCACGTTCTGGGGGTAGTATGTTCCAGGTGTCGAACTGAGTTACCTATGAAGTTCTTGTACTGCATTAATCATCTCTACATTTACAAGCTTCATACTACGACCTTGTAATTGTAGATTTTCAGAGCTCTTTAAAATGCTACTAAGATTGGAATTGTAATGCCCGTGCAAGATCTTGAATGTTTCAAATATGACGCAGCGTTGTCTCCTAGCAGCAAGAGTTGGAAGCCCGAGTCTTGTTAGTCGTTGATCATAAGCCATGTTCTTGACGTCTGTAGGGATATGAGTAGCTCTCCTTTGTGCATTTTCCACATATTTTTGAGAAAGTAAGGATATCAAATCGCGGTGCCAAATTCAACTATTGGGTAGGTTCTATATAGTGAGGTGAAGACATCTCTTCTTATTGTGTTAAAGTTTTTACACACTCTAAACATAGCCTTATTAGCCTCTTTTGCAATGTTACATGGTTTTCCCAATGGTCATTAAGTGATCACAATCCCTAGATCCTTTATGACCTGGATTTCAGACAAGTTCCTGCCGCCTATGTGGTAATTTGAGTTGGATCTTCCAATATACATGACCATACGTTTGTTTTTCATTCAGGGGAAACATCCAAACTCTCGACCACTCCTAAACACTATTCAAGTCGTCTTAAAGGTGGAGATGATTCGCCAAGGGGTTAGTGTAGAATTTGGTGTCATCTGTACGAGGGTTGTCTTTTATATTTCAGGATTAGAGAACAAAAACAAATATTAATCATCGAAAATCACTTTATTGTTTTTCAAAATATTCCCCATGAAGATCTATTGCATGCGTTTGAACCAATTGTCGAAGCACTTTTGCCACTCTGATTGAGGTATCTCCAAAACGTGCATTCTGAATGCAGTCACCGCTTCTCCAGGTGTCGAAAAACGTTGACCTCCGAGTTTGTTTTTTACGTACGGGAATAAAAAGAAGTCACTCGGTACCAAGTCAGGACTCTACGGCGGATGACTCATCAAATCTTTGTTTTGGGTGCTCAAAAATGCAGTTGTTTGAGCCGATGTGTGAGAGCTCGCATTGTCGTGGTGAAGAGTGATCAGTCTTCGGCGGTTGGTTTTCCTGATTTCTTGGAAGACAGCTGGCAAACAAATTGTTGTGTACCACTCAGAATTGACTGTTCTGCGTTGTTCTAGTGGTACGGTTGCGACATACCCAGTTTTTTCAAAAAAACAGGCGACCATCTGTTTGGAAGTGCTTCGTGCGCGAACATTTGTTGGATTTTGCTCATCTTGAAACACCTATACAGTCGACTGCTGTTTACTTTCGGGCTCATACGCGTAAATCCAGGATTCATCACCTGTCTCGATGTCATAGACGTATTTCGAAGCACCGTGATCGTATTTCTTGAGCATTTCTTTCAACCAATCGACACGAGCCCTTTTTTGAGCGATTAACAAATTGCGTGGGATCCAACACGAACAAATTTTTTTGACAGTCAAATGTTCATGCAATATTGAATGTATGCAGGTCCCACTAATGCCTAAGGTTGTCTCAATATCACGATAGGTTACATGACGATCTTGCAATATCAGTTCACGCACAGCATCAATGGTTTTTGGAACAATTAATTTTGGATGACCTTCGCGAAATTTGTCTTGGAGTGAACTACGACCACGATTGAATTCCCCATACCATCGATAAACACTGGTCCTTAGAGAGACTGGAGATTGGTCTGTAATTTGAAATTCCAGTTCTGTCACCTGACTTATGAATAGGGATGGATTTCAATTGCACTGGAAGAAATCCTTCATTCAGTGATTTGTCAAATAATTAATTTAGTAACTAATTTAATAAATTTAATGGCGTGGCAAGATTTTTCCATTTACGTCTCATGTAATTTAATAAATTTACAGTTTTTCAAAGGGGGTTGAGGAATACCATCTGAGTCGGGACCTTTATCAATATCTAAACTCAAAGTTATTTTCATAGATATCAGTTATTGAGATGTCAACATTATTTCAGTTGAAAGGAATTTCATCTGGTATAACATTTTTAACAATAATTGATTGAAGATAGAACATTGAAAAATAGGTTGCAAACGCATTCACAATTCATTGATCATTACATATAATTTCCCATCCAAGTCGCATTGTGTTTGGTAGTCCCTTCTCATTCGTTTTTTAATTCACATATTATCAGAAGTGTTCTTTGTGTATTTCATTACTAAATTTTTAAAACGGTGTCACAACCTTTGGTCTTGTAGAGATAATAAAGTCGCCTACAAGATAAGATCTACTGAATTCTTAGGACAAGTATCATTGAAATTAGTAAATTTGTTAAAATGGTGTTAATTGTATTAGGTCGTAAAGGAAACTACAAGGTTTTTTACCCTTCTCCTAAAATGTCACATATTTTGTGTCAATATGAAATTAACTATGAATATGTTGTGCGAAGTGTGTGTGTGTGTGTTTTTTTTTTTTTTTTTTCTCCAATGCAATTTATTTAACTTTTTAGACTGATTTAAATTATATTTTAACTTTTGTCATCAATTGACTATCTAAAATGAGTACCTTAATGCTTAATTTGCAATTGTGCCTCTGTTTGGCGTAACATATGAATGAAAGTGAACTGCATCATTTCCTATTCTCCTTCATGTTTTCTTGAAATAATAGTTTATTATGTCACTTGATATGTTAAGTTAAGCTATGTCTTTTCTCATTTTTGACAGATTTATCATCTGCTTGGAATGAAGCGGTGAGGTACATCGATGTTCATGAATCTCGAATATTAACTGAAGTACATCTAATACATGGAAAACCTACAAAAATGTGGCAATGGTTAAATGCTACTTCTCGACCTTCTGAGATATGTGCAAAACCTAACAACACAAAGTAAGTTGATGTATACAATTTTATTCGGAAATTATTTTTAGTTATCTTTTATGACAATATTTTTAGTTGATTAAAATTTCTTAATTTATTTTAATTTTTGTGTGTGGTGATTTATACTAGTTTAATGAAATTGATAATTTGAAGTAAACAGGTAACTGTTAGTAATTTGATATGAATGTATGTACATTTCAGTGTCTTTGACTTCTCTATTTGCATCCGTGATTTAGCTATATTCCTGAAAGACTTCAGGATAACTGAAACTTATTTCATCCAACGGGTAGATGAAATAATCCATTTGTTGGCCAACAATTATTGTAGTATAAAGTTTAAAATTGGTTGTGATTAATTTAATGTGTAGATTAATTACTTTTTTAATGCTATGGACTCGTAAGAGAATTTCACTTAATGTGGAAATTGTGAACGAAAAATAAAGTTGTACAAACATGAGTTTATGCTAGAAAGCCATATGGTGTTTATCATTCATTGGTTTTCTACCAAGTGGGTAAGCTTTTAAGGATATTGTTATTTTTTATGCTATTCCAAACCTGCTGTAATGATCTGCAATTATAAAAAATTAATCTATAAATAAAAATTGGGGGGGGGGGGGAACTACAACAGACAACTATATTTGATATCTAACTCCTCCTAGAGGCCTCAATCAGTCTCGATGAATTTTGAGACATAGGCAGATCATATCCAAACATAAGATCTCTTCATATATTTGTGGAGACTTAGAAATAAATGGATATATGATAGTGTGCAAATGTTAGGATTGTTCCTGATGATGCCAAATATTCCAGAAGGCACCAGACAGTTCCTAGCATTGCACATGACTGTAAAATTGTAGTCTTAAAAATATATACATAACATAGTGCTGTATTGTTATTCAGGGAGAAAATCTCTAATTTTTCTGCAATTACTGAAATTTTGCTTTCCTCGAATGCTTTCTCATGTCAAAATCCAGTGCCATTATTTTTCACTATCTAGAGCGAGTGAGGTTCAAGGCTTTGCATGACATTTTCAACCTTTCTTTCTTCTCTCTCTCGCTCTCTCTCTGATCTCACTTTGAGATTAATCACTGCACAATATTCTGACAGAGGCACTACTATTGCTTGCCTGGTTATAGGGTGTCTGGAGAATAACGTGTACACACTAAGTGCCCGGAATTGGCATCTAGGTTTCCCTCTGATATGTGCTTAGTTTTGGGGTCACCAGCTTATAGTGGCTTGTAGTAACTTGTAGAAAAATAACAACACAGAGCACTGTGAATGACTCAACACTTCCTAGTTATCGAAAGGACTGGTGTACGAAATTGCGAAATTTGCACCAGACCTGTGATGCATCAATGCCCTGCAATCCCAATGCCCCAGATGCCCAAGATGCAATCTCAGAACGGCACACAAGAAGCATACTGGTGAAGGGAAGAGTCAGTGGATCTGAGGAAAAACTCGGCTCTGATGCAGGGCCCTAAGAGAAAGACAGACCTGTTAAATAAGTTAATTAAATTCTGTTAAATGAGGAGGCATGTGTATCATCCACAGCAAAATATTTCTCAATTGTTTCTTACAAATTTTGTGATCCAATTCTTGAAAAGAAGTGTAAAGCACCTTGCAAGAACGCATGAAGCTTTTAATTCCCTGCAATAGCAAAAGACTTGGAGAAACAATCAATCTGAATTGTTGTTTCATTGTCTTATTTCCTCCTCTCTGATTTTCTTCCTAAACCTATCACACATTTTTTACTGCTGATAAATAAGGAAGCATGCATGTCATCCACGGCAAAATATTTCACAATTGTTTTTTAGACGTTTTGTGATCCATTTCTTGAAAAAAATTGTAAAGCACTTTGTAAAAAACCTTCAAATCCGTCTCTGTTGTATCCCTTTTCGACATTGCAGCACTAATGACAGAAAGATTGAGTGTGGCCTGAAGTCAGTTGTAGGGTGTTATGTTTATTTTTGAATAGGGGAGGGACATCCGTCACCTATCAAAGTGGATCCCCTTCCCAAGAATGTGAGGATCCGGAACTCTGCTGCCTTGACTGGCACTCATATTTCTTCTCATACGGGTAACACTGAAATTGTGCACCATGTGCTTTAAGTAAACACCTGTTACAAATTATAACTTTGTCACATATAAGTGTAATACTTTACTGATAAGAATTTGTTAACAGTATTTGTTTAATGATAGATTAAATTTGGATAATAAAGTCAAAAAAGTGAAATCGTGTTGTACAGCACACACAGATCTAAAATAGAGAGATATTTAGGTGCTAAAGCATTGATTACCAAAGTGGTGCGCCCCCTAGGGAGGCATAGAGAGAAGTCAAGGGGGGCGTGGGATCCATTGGGACATGGTATATCCAAACATCCCTGAGGACTTTGCGTGCTAGGAAGATGTGAATTTTGTCAGAGTTGCCTTGTTGCATTGTGTGATTTGTGGTATTCAATATCGTTCAAGATGAGCTCAGCAAAAAAAGCATAACTGATTATATTTAATAAGAGTTCATTTGCTATGTAGTGTTGAGCAATTTGTGTGAGAAAGTGTTTTCCACACTTGCTGCAATTAAAACAAACTATCGGGGCAAACTTGACATTGCTAATGAGTTACGTTGTGCACTTTCTTATATTCAACCAAGGATAAGAAATCTGGTAAAAAATAAAAACTCATCCTTCTCACGGATTTTTCTTGACCCCTGTTTAATTTGAATTTTACTTGTAATATTAATTGGGCGTAAATCGTATCAATACAATTGCATTTCCTTGACTTAACCTAAAAAGAAAACAACTAACATTCGAAGGAGAGGGCAAAAAAAACATAATTAACTTGTAAAATTTGTAAAGAGAAAAAAATACATGTATTGTTACTCAATGTAACACTTCTAAATTAATTTGCAACATTACTACAAAATTCATAGATTTTATAACAAACTTCGTCACACCACCCATTATGTATTGACCTTTCCAATAAGACTTGAAACAACTTTGTTGGGCATTAAGAACAGAATCCTGACGGATTCAGGGGGTGGGGGGCTTATTTATTTTAACAACAATATTGTATAGTATCATATCTGCAGTACATCAATAATATACAATATAATAACAAATGTGTGTATCATTTTACAAAAATATATGATGGCCCCCTCCAAAATGATCAGCTGTATCTGCCCACTTACTGCATTTCAAGTGACAGTATTCATGAAAAATCATGGGTTAAAAAATCTATTTTAATATGAAAACTTAAAATAACAGTTTGATATTGAAGAACATTGCTAGTAGATTGGTTTTTCTGGGTGCTTAAAATGCTCTTGCCTTGGTCTCACTTTTTTGTCCCAGCATTGCTGCCACATCCATCATTGTCAATGTTCATGTTTTTGCTTCAAATCTGGTGGAAGAAGCCAAAAATGATTTAAACTTTTGCTTTTTTTTTTTTTTTTCTCGTCCTCTTTTTTTCTTTCCTTTGGATAATTTTTCATACAGACATTAGCCTTTAGAAAATACTTATGGTTTTTTGTTGTTTTTTAAATATTGTTTTCTGAAAATAAGCTTTTTTGATTTTGACATTAAAATTTCTCACTTGTTAGAGAGAGAATATTTTTAAACTTATAATAATTTTTATTTCATAACTTTCAAATACATGAAATCATTAAAAATTTAAATTGCTTTTCCCCCTTTAGTATTAACATCATGGGAAAATTTCTAGTTGGAAACAAGTTCAATACTTCTTCTTTTAGGTTCGAATCATTGTTCAAATTGTTTTACTTCATTTCACTTTCAGGCACTTCCTACTGTTTGCTATTTAAAACCTGTAATATAATAACTTTGAATATATAACTTAAAATAAACAACTTTTTTAATCTCTATTTCTGTGTTAATTATATTAAAAAATATTTTAAACTATTAATGTAAACATAAAAGTTGAAACTTCATATAAAATATTGTTTCTTTAATGATAATAATAAATAATTTTAAAAAAGGACTCTTGTTTATTGGTTTATAAGGCATGATCCTTCAAATGTACATCAAATCCTTATGTACTGGGGTGGAAGAAACTCGTGCTGAGGCTACAACCTAAATATGTTAATGCAGGTCGATTGCGAATGTTAATTGAAATGGGTTAATTTCTGGGAAAATGGTTTCAGGTGACCAGCAGACAGTCGTATATATCATTAAGAATAATCAATCTAACCAAACTATTGTTGTTTATGTTATTAATGAATTATCCATAAATGTAATAATATCAGTTATTTGAGTTAATGATAAAATTTGTGTTTTATATAATTACTTAAACTTTCAACATCAGAAAATTTTACACCTCTGGCTATTCAGGTACATTTTTTGCGGAAACTTTTAGTGAAACCCCCATTCTCTTTCTAGCCGACAAAAGTGTTTTGTTTCTATTTTTAATTACATGTTGCTTTTGCGTATTGTCAATTATAATTGCATACTCCTATGTGTCTATGGTTTGTTTTAGTGTCAATGTGACTCCAGAAGAACCAGACAGTTCATCTACTGCTTCTTCTTTTGTTCCTGCTCACTCCAGTTCCTCGTGGACCACAAAATGCCGTCGTAATAAGGTGTGGCAAGGCAAGGCTTTTGAAACTATTGCTGGTAGTCCTAACTCGCTGCCATGTAGTCCCACTCCATGCCTTAAAATAAGACATATGTTTGATCCAGATTTGTAAGTGTGTTCATGATTGTATTAATACATATTGTAAACATTATTTACTATATTTGTAATACATTGTTATTTATGCAGGGAACATGGAGATGATTGGCCAATTCTCATTCAGGATTCAATTTTGGAGAAATGTGAAGATGTGAACGTTCTTCATCTGTTTATAGACTGTTCTTCTCAAGAAGGTTGTGTATTCATGAAATGTAGCTCCTCAGAAGAAGCTGGAAAAGCATATCGAGCTTTGCATGGCTGGTGGTTTGATAGTAAGTATTTTCTTATGTATTGGCATGCCACATTAATTATTTGATTGCCACCATACTCTTATCACCTTCCCATGAATGGTGAATCAGTCCACATCCTGACGGGGGATGCAAGGAGGGCTCTCAAGTATTCTTTTCTTTCACCACTAATTCTTTTCCCCATTGTTAATTTTCATTCTTTTATAACAATTCATCTCTTTTCTTCCTGTTGTATTTTACACCCC